CTCAGTTCTGGTATTACCAATCTGTCCAAATGCTTGAAACAACCAGCCGCGTTCTAAATTTAATTTATTTTCAAAAAATGATTCTCACAATGGTTTTAAGAAAAATAAACAAAATAAATAAAATTACTTGGAAGTATTGACAAGCTCTTTTGACACCTTCAGGAGTTAGTCTGCTTTCCGAGATGCCAAGCTTGCTATACATGGCACCAATATTAAATAGTACACAGGCTCTCTCATAGTAAAAATTTTTATGCGAAACTAATATGAAAGAAAAAAATTTAATCTCCTCACAAAATTATTCTTTCACATATAATGCGAATGATAAAACATACCAGGCTTTTTTTCATTATTCGGAAAGGCTGAATACCAAGGAAATTCTATGCCTACCTATGAAAAGTATAAAGTTCAATAAAAAAGAAAAAAAAACTATATTTAAGACGTCATTAAACCTACATCAATTGGAAATTTAGATCCAATGAAAACTAGTTGCCCATAATATCTGAAGGATAAGATTTAGTCATTTGAACACGTTTTGGATCCATGTTTCTCTCTTCAGTGAGAACAAAAAAAAAAAAGTCAGGTAACCCACTTTAATAGCCGATACAGTGCATTTTGGTGTACCTCCAAATTCAAACAATCAGTCCTAAGTTCGTCAAGAATGCGTAAATCGTCAGTGTATATATCTGGATGTTCATCATAAGAATATGAAATATAATCTCTAAGTGTAGCTTTGAGAGCAATACGCTCAGTATATTTGAAGTCAACGGCGAGAATATTGGACATTGCTTCGAATTTGTAGATAACTTATAGATCGTATATCGATACGTATAGATATATTTTAACGATATCTGTTAGCCAATCATATGAAAGTCAGTCATCCTCTTATTAGCCACAGATAATTATTATATCTGGTCATGCCTTCCATCTATACGAAGATTTCCGACCTTGATTTAACACAAGAAAAAAACTACTACGTGCCCTTTTCACTAATAACCTAGATACTTGATTATTTGAAAGAATTTTAAAGCCTGGTATGTTCTTATGCAGATTGGATACTGTTATGACGAAAGCATAGGCAAGTCAAGGATGAAAAAGCGTTTGAATGGTGTTTGGAACCTGCCAAAGATAGCAATTCTAAAGGACAATTTAATGTTGAATTCTGTTATCAAAATGGCATAGGCAGCGAATAAGGCGTTTGAGTGGTATTTAAAGTCTGATAAAAAGAAGCATTTGAGTTGCTTTTGAAATCTGCTAAAGAATGGCAATTCGAAAGGATAATTTAAAGTTGGAATGAGGGCTAAAAATGAAAAAAGGTATTTTAATGAATCGAAATTTTCTGTGAACTCAATAGTCAACGAACCATCAATTTTATCTTCCAAAAGAATGCAGAATGATATATACCTACCCGAAAACTCCAAAAATGATCATACTGCACAGCTAAGTCTTAAGCATTGGAAGGATAGCTGAAGATAAAGTTATTTGCTATTTACTAAGTAGCGAAGGCCAATAATATTTGCAAAACAGCATATATTGCCTTGTGTATAGTATCCGTATTCATATGCATGAGAGATATCTCTACGCTGAGTACATGAAGCATAGGACGTGTTCCTTATTAAGATAATAACCGTACTGATTCTATAAGAGATGTCTCTATGCTGAATGCATAAAAAGCGTAGGTGTTCCTGGCTTTTACTTTAGTGAAGATAATATCCGTATTGATTGTACGAGAGATGCCGCCATAAAGCATAGAACATGTTCCTGGCTTCACTAAAGCGGCTTTATTGTGACGGATTAAAATGAAATGAAATTTGTATAGTAATAGATAGCCACTGAAAATATAAATTTTTGGGGTCAGCTTTAGGAGTAGAATTTATAATAAACAAGTATATAAGTGGAGAGAGTTAAATAGGAATCTAAAATTTTATTTTAACCTGATTTCATATGACCCGCGACAATATCTGTACCAATGATATAAGAGATGTTTTCATACTGTGTTTATATACTGTGTTCATAAACCGTAAGAAATGTTTCTGGCTTTACTAAAGTGATTTTATCTTAGATTTGCAAGAATTGTGAAAGATTTATAGCGAAAACGTGACAATAGTTATAATTAAACATATATTCTTCATAATTTCTACTAATTCTAACATATAACAAGAATAAAATTACCTTAGTAAAGTTTATGCTTCAAACTCTTAACATGGAAAGATTCTACTACTATTATTTTACTAAAGTAAAAGATGATTTTTTATAACTGAAAAAAGTTAAAATTAACGAAGGTATAGCTTTGGTTTTTATAATTTTATTTTGTTTAGCTATGTTACAATTTAAATATCATTTAAAAATTTTAATACAAACCACTTTTTATAGTGAAGTTATTTGTTCTATTAATAACAATTTTAAAAATTTAATATATCGAGAGTTTTACTAGTAAATTTATTATATTAAAAAAATCATGTATATAAGCTGGCTTTAAGTTTAATTTCACTATATCAAAATTTTAATGGTCATTATTATATTAAGAGTTTTATTATAGTGAGAATAACTTTTAAATATTTAGATTTAAAAAATATAATGATATAATATAGTATATTGTTAAGTTGTTATTTTTTAGTTTTAAAATTTAATTTTATTAATAACAATATTTAAAAAAAATTTGTATTATATAATATTAATAGTTTATACTAAATTATTAGTTTTAGTTATACTATATAGTCAACATAGAAAATTTAGAGTTGGAAATATACGTAGTTATAGGTTAAGATAATAATTAAACTTTAGTTAGCATAAGATTTTTGAAGGTTTTGAAATTTTACCTAGAGTATCTAATGTTAATTAGTTAGTTTTCGAGATATAGAAACTGCAGTGTTGAACACCACTAGTATGTTTTAGTCAACTCGATAATTTTTTATATAAGAGATTAGTACTGTTGAACCTCCTAAAATCGATCCTCTCAATCCGTTATATAGATCTAACCTCTCAATACTGATATAAAATCTGTCCATCATGCATATCGATTTGGGGAGGTTCAACAGTAATTGTAATAGTAATAATAAAATTACCAATAGTAACAAAAAACTCTATTAAAAAGTATTTACTGTAAAATCTGCTTACCCGTATTGTCGCGAAATAATGCGCAGGGGTGTAATTTCAAATTTTGGCCTAAATCGAGCTTAATTCGGGCCATTACTCTAAATAACGCCCATGGGCATCAATACGGTGCTTATAATATAGAAAAAATTTACGTATTTACGCGATAATAATGCCCCTTGTGCGTTACTTTAAAGCGCATACGCCTTATTTTGAGCAAGAATACTTTTTTCAAATCTCGTAATACATGGGTCTATTATAATAATTAAATTAGCAGCAGAGTTTTAAACTCAAACAATTAGAAATACATTTTGTCTCATTTACAGAAAAAACCTATGGATATTCTTCCTTCCACTTTCGTGATACACCTACTAACAGTGCAGAATTTGAGATTATCAATGGACAACCTACGCATGATTGCTACTGTTCGGTGAAAGAATTTGTCTGGTAAACTAAAAGCTAGTGCTATGTACTCAAATACGAGAAAATTCCTTCATGATTGTCGTCCCGACAGGTCATCAAATCATAGCTTCTAAGCAGAATGCAAATCAATTGCTAGGATAGGACAGCAAACAGAAAAAATATATCCGAGAAAAAACCCTTAAATACTACTAACGATTACTAATCGCAAAATACTTGTCACATATGAAATCATACGATAAATCAAAAAGCGATAAAATCACGACACTGCATCAACTATGTCGATTCGAAACAAAATGTTTCTTTCTTATTGGGCAGCTAATTAAGTTACATAAAATGTGAGTGCGCGTTATTTCAAGACGCGTATGGGCAATATTTTGAGTAATTTAACTAATTTTTTGAGAAAGGCAAATTTCAAATTAACGCCCTGACCCGTTATTACGCGCAAACGGTATGACAAATTGTTAATTTTTTCATATAAAAAAAAATTTTATAAATTGCAATATCGTATTATTGCACGATACGATTATAATTTCAATGTTTACAAGATCCATTAAATACAATCATAAGAACTGCAAAAGATCGTTCGTTATTGAGCCCAAAAAACATTGGTTTACGAAATCTTGAAACATGAATGAGTCCCATCATCAAATTGGATGTAATTCGGGTGTTAAATTTACATATGCAATTAAGATTCTGAACGATTTTCTGAAAGCTTCACGGGCGGAATCGCAAAGGTAGAATAAATGTGGAGAAATTCACTGTAACTAGGTTAATTGCTTGTGGAAATAGCTGTCATGCCACAACCATGCTTACAATAATCTAATGTAATTAGAATATATGTATAAACAATATATTCTGGTTTTAATAAAATTGACGTTAGTTTGAACTCTTTATCAATTTGGATGAATTTAAAATTCATTTCAACTTGGGCGCATTTGGATCTATTAAAAAAAATTAAAAATTTAGCGAGATTCTATATGACATATATACTTAATATTAGATCAGTTGTAACATGAATTTAGTTAATTTCGTTTATTTTATTCTTACTTTTATTATTACGTATTCATATTACTAATCTTAACCGGGGTAACTTTCCCTGGGGGTGTTTGGAGGTGCTATATCTCAAAAACATACTAAATAAACGGGATCGGATATCTTAAGCAAAAATACTCAGGACCCTGAAAACCTTTCGAGAACTAATTCAAAACCTTACATCAAATATATATTATATTATATAAAAAATTCCTATATATCTTAAAGCTGCACCATAACCCTAAAAATACTAAGGGAGGTAATTTCCCCCCGGTTAAAGTAATTTTCTTTTTCATATATATAAAATAAAATAAAATATATAATAATTTTTAAATTTTATAATCATTTATTCCCATAAATTATAATTTAGATTTAGGATTATCTATAGGTTCAACACCTTCTGTATATAATTTATCGATAATATTACGAAAATGTTTCTGAGCTTCATGACGTTTAAGTTTCAAACTAAAATTTAAATTAAACGTTTAATTATAAAAAAATAGAATTGTAAAAGAAAAACATAATAAATACTCACGTTGGAGTCAAAATGTGGTTCTCAACCGAAAATGGAACACTCGAGAGATAAATTGCTTTAACTGTTTCAAAACTATATAATGCAGGAAAACAAATTTAAGTTTGTAAAATAAGATTAAAACATACATAATTATGTATATCACAGGACGAATTTTAAAATTTCTATAAAATTCCCGAGATATCAGCGGAATAGTCTGATAGCTAACCGACTTTTGGCGCGTATTTTCGCCTATTGGATATCCGATATACCTATCGGAAACGATATCCTTCTGATAGGTGAAAATACGCGTCAAAAATCGGTTAGCTATCAGACATATCGACGTTTGATATCTCTCAGAAATGTTATAGAAATTTTAAAATTCGTCCTGTGAAAATTAAAACGTATATAAATATGTATATACTAACCCTTTAAGTTTTGTTTGCTTTGCAACTTCGTTCATATGATCCAAAAAAGCTTTTTTCACATTTTTATCATTAACAAGAATTTCCAATCCTTTTTCATCACCCAAGGAAACATTTTGTTTGATCAATGCATTTGCCCACGGTACAAAAGTTTCTGGATCTGGCACGACAATGGCAACAAGATGATTACGAAGAGAATCGCCATGAACGAATATTTGAAGTATTAAATTGGAATTCACATATGCATTTTCGATCTATTTTATTTGTTAATTTAATATTATTGAGTAAAAAGAATTATATAATCACGTTGATAAGCTTACTTTTTCTGGGGCAACGTATTCTCCGTGAGATAACTTGAATATATTCTTCTTTCGATCAATTATACAAAATGCACCTATTAAAATATAAAGTCATAATTGTTATTATCATAATAGTTTGTACAGATTGAAAACAAAATTTAGTAAAAAAAAACTACCTCTTGCATTAATATATGCAACATCTCCACTATGAAGCCATCCATCCTTATCAATTGTTTCTTTTGTTTTAGCATCGTCTTTATAATAGCCACGAAAAACACTTGGACCGCGATAACAAAGCTCACCGCGAGGAAAAGGCTTATCGGTCGAAAAATAATTCATCTCAGGTACATCTACAAGTTTTATTTCATTACTAAAGTAACGTAAAGATTAATGAATTTAATAAGCACATAAATAATCAAACGACATGAGACAATTACCATGGAACAGGACCACCCACATGCCCGGCAGCATTCTCATGTTTTAAGGTCATTGTCGCAGCACAGATACCTTCAGTCTGTCCATAACCTAAACCATATTTATATTTAGAAAAAATAAATAAAAAATAAAAATAAAAGAACTATAAATACAATAGAATGACATCACTAACCCTCAGCTATATCACAAGCAAATGCAATCCTCAAGAACTGTAATACTTCAGGACCTATAGGTGCAGACCCCGTAATAATTAATCTCACACGTCCTCCTATAACTTGTTTTATCTTGTTGAATATAAGGTTATCCCATAAAGTATGAGTATAGCCCTTTCCATCCTCTAAATTCTTAAGCTTTGCAGAAACAGCCATACGTGATAATGCGCCTTTAATTCCAGGAGCATACACAGTGTTTTGTTGAAGTTTAGCATGCACACGCGTAAGCAAACGCGGAACAGAAGGAAAAATGGTAGGCTTAAGTTCAGCAATATCATCAATAAGATTAAGTACATTCCCACGAAAATAACCGATACTAGCACCGGCAGAAACCACTAATACTTCAACCATTCGTTCTAATACGTGAGCAAGCTAAATATTAAGGTAAAATAAATAATATTTAAATAATAGAAACATTTTAAATAATAATAATAACATTATTAATAATAATAATAATAATTTACCGGTAAATAAGAAATAAGAACCTGAGAAAGAAATATAAAAAATAAATGGAACTAGGGCGTAAATAAAAGTCATGCTATATAATAACACTAATACAAAAATACATACGTCATCTTGTCTTGCAGCCCAGCATAAACTGAAGCCATTTTTCGCACCAATGAAATTTGTATGTGTGAGCAAAGCACCCTTTGGAACACCAGTTGTACCTGAAGTATAACAAATACAAGCAATATCATCCGGAGAAGGGGGATTATGGATATGAGGATATTGTTGACCTAATCTTTCAACCTCGATAAAGTCCAATAATAAAATGCCCTGATCACGTGCCCATGCTTTTAAAACCTTTCCGGTGGTAATTGCATCAGGAGCAGGGTCACTGTCATCAAGATCATCCATTGAAATAATTACTTTCATTTTGGGCATCTTTGATGCATTCTGAATAAGCCCAGGGATGCGATTAGCACCAGCGACCACAATTGGAATTTCAGCATGATTTATGATATATTCAACAGCCTCTGATAAACCAATTTATAATTAATTAAATAATAATAATAATTGAAAATAAAAAAAAGAAGTTACTTACGAGGGCCAAAAGTGTCATATATCGCAACGGTGACAAGATTATATGCGACACACGCCTAAATTTTTTTTTTTTAATATATTAGGAAAATTTTTCCTCATTCGACACGTTAAACATGATAAAGTAATAATTATATATACCTGATCAGTAATGAACCACTCTTGATAATTAAAGAATATTTAGTTTTTTTTTTTTTTTTTGTACAAATATTTCACTTATTATATTCTTACCAGGCCTATTATTTGCGTAAATTCCAACAGACCATTGTTTCGATTTAGGATTTTTTACAACCTAGAAATTAAAAAAATTGCGAAATTATTCGTCTGTTAAATTTATTTATTTATTTAGGGTGTTCTCAAGCACCCACCTCAATGAATTCAATAAAAATCATTAAACTGACCAATCAGATTCATTATTGAGTCCATTGAGGTAGGTGCTTGAGAACACCCTTAAACAATCAAACATACGGTATTGCTCAAATGCATAAGCCCGGAACCAAAGCTGTTAACGCGCTCGTTGACTTGTTTGTAAGTTTGCCAAACAAAACCTTCATATCGTTTAGTTGTCTTATTATAAGGTCTATGTGCGATACAATTTCGGTCCCTTGATATTTTAATTGCTATAATAATAAACCAGAAATAGCAGTCAGTGAAAAAGAAAGACTGATTTTCGAATATTTTTTTTATTAATCCTACCGTATTGAAAATTGTCATAGAGAGTTTTGTTTTCAGGACTGCAAAAAAGTATTCGCTCATGTCAATAACAGGTTGTATACAAATCTTCTTCATGCTACAGCAAATTGGTAGAACATTATAAACCTTGTCGAGAAAGTCAGAGTCTCCGGGTTAAACGAATTACGATAAATCCCAGTTTGTCCTGGCCTTCTTGTATTGGGCAGCTCAACTGAATATATTGGTGGCTCCATCATTTATTTGTAGTTTTAATAATTGTCTAATTGTCTTTTGTGGAAAGCAATCTTTATATAGCTTTAGTGTTGCATACAAATCACCATTAACATAACCGAAATATTTCATCGGATCGGGCATTCGAATATGGTGTTATTAACCGAATATCGCTATGTCGAGTTTGGGACCAATTAAATTTCAGAATCTCATGTAGCTTCCGATCCTTAGAATAAAGGGTGCTAACTTAACGATGCTCTTTAAAATCGAATTCGGATTTGATCATCTATGAAGGTACCCAAGATTATCATGACCATGATCTTATTTGTTTATTCTACGAGATTATCACGAGTTACAGTATGTATCAGGTATTCATTCATTGTGTGTACGTACGTACGTACGTATATACGTACTTAGCTTCATTTAGAATTTTAATTGGCAAAAAGAACCAAGAATCATATTATAAGCGATCCCGAAATTAATTGGCACGGTTAAACTATTCCTCATCACGTACGTACATACGTGCTTTCTGTAAAAAGTTTAAATCATCTATCTAATTTTGTGTTCATTCTCTAAGATCATCTTGTAACACTAAATAACAAGCAGATACGCATGTTAAAATCAATGATAAAATTTAACTAAATCATAAAATACTGAACAATGTACTGTATTTACATATGTGGCTTTGCTATTATCTATGAATATTTTGTTTCAGTAATCGTTTGCATATACAGCCAAACATATATTTACTTATTCCTAACAATAGCGATACTCATCTAAAAATGATGTCAGAACAATAAATGTAACCGATTGTTAGTTGAAAATTTTTTAAAAAATCGAATGAATCGATTATTGCTAATTAATCGTTTAGTTGATCTAATTTAATATAATAAAAATTTTATTAAAAGCTAATTAATGTAAAGCAACTAATTAATCGACAGCTAATCAATTAGTTGGATAATCGATTAACAGTTGGGTCAAAATTATTAATCGATTAGTTGCCAACTCAGCCAACTAAACGATATCACTAGGGTTTAGCAAAAAATAATTATAGATTTTTTAATGTTTTAAATTTGAGAAATTGCTAATTTTAACCGGAGGTAAAATCACCGGGATGCTATATCTCAAAAATGCGCTAAGTAAATAAGGTCAGGTATTCTAAGTAAAAATGTTCAGCACCCCGAAAACCTAACCTTAATTAAATTTTGGACTACTATACCTAACCCTCTCTTTTGTCTCAAACTACATCTAACCCTAAAAACATGAAGGCGTCATGGTTTAAATTGAGCGAAAATAATATTTTTATTTCTAATTTTACTATCAGAATTACATTGTTTGCTCAACTAAAAAAAAAAAAAAAGCATCTGTAAGTAAACTTTTGCAAAGATTTAGTACGGCGGTCACTGATTATATAATACAATAAACAACTTTTAAAATTGCTAAATATAATAAAATTAAGAATAATTTTTATTAGATTGGTTAATAGAAATTAAGTATTTCAGTGTTACTGAAATTAAGCAACCCCCTTTCTAAAAAAATCAGTCAAAATGGTTGCTTATATTCGGGATTTTACAGTATGTTTTTTTTTAAACTTCTTTAATTTGTATAGTGCAATATAATATAAGTATACAACATGTAATATAACAAGCATGGTAAAAAGAAAGTAATTTATAATAATAAATGGTATAATACTTATAATCAATAGTGGCTGTGCTATAATTTGCCCAACAACCATTTTCCAACAATATTTTTGAAATTATTATTGGGAAAATAGTTAGACAAATAACATGAACTCTATTTAAAGATGTATTGTATTTATAAAGGTTTATTTATAGAGGTTTGACTGTATAGAAATTGGGTTCTTGTTACAATTACTTATACTAAATAAAAATACAAGACTTTATCTTAATATTAAAAAAAAAAACTATTTAAAAAATATTAATACTTAATTTATTACAAAATTTATATAATTTTTTAAAACTATAGTATACATTATATTGTTATATATGATTAGATTTTATTAAAAATTAAAGCTAAAGCTATTAAGGTGTAATAACTTAGTGTAGTAGTCTAGTTGTTACTCTTTCCAAGTGGCAGGTCTAGAGTTTGAATTCTATAGACAACAATTGTGAAAATTAGGCCTGTGCTCCGGTTGACAGTTGTTGATTATCAGTTAGATTTAGAATTAAATCTGTAATCTTGATTACACATCTAATTATAAGAGCTTTGGTGCAATAAATCTGGGGAACTAGAATAACCACAAACCTATTTGGGAAATCCTGAGTTAGGAAGTAGCACAATCTTTAATGGTGCTACAGAAATGCTAATTTTGAACTAGAAACCAAGATTGGAGAACTAAGCAACCAGGTTCTAATAGTAGAAGACACACTAGCCAAACTGCTGAGTTCTGTTGCACTAGAAGAAAAGAATATATATTTTAGAAAATATATACCAAGAGGAGGGTAACTATGAGGCATTTAAAGCCTAGGCAGACTGACCTTTTTGGTTTGTCAGCTAGAAGTAAAGAAGAAATTGATAGAGAATCTAAATAAGAAGATAGTTTAAATACTAAGAAATCATCAATTAATTATAACTTTTAAGAGTTTTCAAATATGAAGTCTCATAGTGATAAGACTATATGATATATATACAGTATTTGGCTAATAAAGAATTTTTAAAAGAAGATCTAAGCTATAAAGAAAATAGGCACTGTGTGTAATAAAGGTTACAGAAAGTAATACTTCAAAAGACTATGTATATAAATCTCAAAAAGGTAATTTTTAAGTAGTACCAACATCTGTTAGAAGACTTGATTATAAGAATAACATGATATACTATAATTAAAAATAGTGAATATAGTAAGAAACTGTAGTAAGAGAATAGCTTTACTAAATATAGAATATCTTTGACATAATAAAACAAGAAAAACTGGCTAAAAAAAACTCTAAAAAATATGAAAACAAGTATTTTAATAGTATAAAAATAAAAATGACTAGTAAGTAATAGTTATACATCTATATAAAAGTCTATAACAAAATATAGCAAAACCAAGAGTTCTGGATTACTAAATTGTAATAGTAATTAATGAAGTATTTAACTCTTGTTGTAAGAATTTAAACTTCTATAACACTATATTAATAGAAAGTACTATAAAAGAAGTAATAGGCCTAATTTGATAATATATAATACAAATATCTAAAATAATATAAAATAATATTCTAATATAGCAGCAAATAGCTTAAAATACAGGTTTTATGATAATAGCAATATCTAGCTTAAAATATGAATTAGAACCTTAAAGTAATACTTTGAGATACTAAACTAAAAGCAAAAAAGCATTTACTTGAACAATACTAATTTTAAAGTTTACAAGAAGTGAATTAGAAGTAATATAATAAGTAATGAGTAATAGAAGTTGGCTAATAAATATTATATAGTAGTATATAAATAGGATATATGGGTAATTAAAAGTAAAAACTACCAAATTTAGCTTTTTTTTTAAAAAATGAGTTTTTAGATTATTTAAATATAATTTTTAATTTTTTTATTTAATAATGAAAATATAATCAATTAGTGTCATGGTCCTGGGTATTCGTAGTGCAAGGGCAAGGACAAAGGACAGGGATCATGATCAGGTCATGATCCCAATTTGCATGAATGGCGTGATTCGGAGTTATGCATGGGAAATAATTAAAAGTTAAAACATTGATTGTATAAGCGATAAGATAATATATAATAATCAGTAATGCTGAATAGTGATTAGTAATTAATAAATAAGACATTGATCCAAATTGGGGAAGTGCTTAAGTTAAGTTTTGTATTTGCAAAAAATTTTTGTTCTTAGTGAAAAACTATTACCTGTATGAATGCAATATAATTGGTGGAAGAACCTATACGATACACAGTCAATCGAAGATAATAGCCAAGCGAGTGAATATTGATAGTAAAGACCCACCAGTATATGAGAGTTTCAGTATAACCTGTGACAATTAGTAAATTTTAAAGTTATAGTTATTTAAAATATAAAACACCAAAATTTAAAAATAGATTAATGTTTAATATTACACAATTGTTTATATTTAGCACTATAAATCTACAAAAATTAGCCAATTAGTTAAAATAATAAACAGGTTTATAATCCAGAATTGTTATTTTTAGATTTGTTTTGTTTTGTATAACAAAATATGATTTGCTAATTATTTTAAAACTCATAATCATCAAAATTTAGTGGTTTCTACTTTTGATTACCTATATATAATATAATAAATTTGGTAATTTAAAAATCAGTCTAGTGTTAGATCGTTGATAAGAAAATAATATTTTATATAGCAAGTTATACATACAGTAAGTACTAATTAAGTAACCAGATAAGCTAATATTTGTAATATAAATTAAATAGTTATAAATATACATATATATTTGTAATTAATACTTTGAGTATTCTAATAAATAGTATTAGCAAAACTGCTGAATTTTTTTAAAAAAAAATTCAAAATATTGCTAGTATACTAATAAATATAATTAAGTGATAAATCATTTTTAAAGAGAATAAAAAATGATAAACCTTATAATAAACATTTATATATTTTTTCTATAGTGCAGAAATCTGGCTTGCTTATATATAAAAGTATTTTTTTTATTAAGTAATACTTTCATGTTGCTTAATTGAAAGTTGTAGAGCTAACTTTTATGATTCCAATAGTAGTAAAATTATCGAAATTGGTTTGATAAATCATAAGATATGAGTATTTTTTAATTGTTTACTATAGAGTTTTTTCTTAAGAATTGAAGCACATGAGATTCCACTTACTATATAAGGTAACTAGTCACATGCCCACCAATTTTTACTATGAAATTTATATCCTTTAACTGCGGATCACCCCTTAATTATAATTAGTATATTAATAAGTAGCTCTTCTTTAATTTCTTTTTACTTTTAACTATATTATTATTTAGAAAAATTTATATATTAGAACTCAAATTTGAAAATAATTATAAATAAGAGCTTAGCTTAAAAATATTG